ACTGGAAAGATCTAGTATTAAAAAACCCAAAACTTGAGTGCTGATCTGTTCTACTTATATTTCCAGAGAAACAAAGGTCTGTTTTGAATAAGACACCCATGCTATGTATTTAACACTTCATGGATTTAAGGCAAGATGCTTCTTAAAGCATTATCTTTGCATTATAATATATGGTTACATCATTTATGGTCTCTCATGAGTTTGGTATGCATCAGTAAATTGCTTCTGTCAGTCTTATTTTGGTGTTATAGAACCGACACTGAATAGAATATTACACGTACAAAAATGTGTTCCCTAATTAGGTTTGCATTTCAGAGAACAGGATCACATCAGAAAACTAGAGATTGACAACCTACTCCAGCCCTGCACCAACAACCTTACTACAACATTTTGCAAAGATTTTAGCCAAAAGCTTGATCTATGTTATATATATATATAAATATATGCACTTAAAACTAATAATTTAGGCATTATATATGTGAATACATACAAATTGATTATTGTATCTCCCATCCCCAGGTGGTCCCTAAACACTGTATTACCTAATCACATAAAAATGGCAGGTTTACTAATTTTATAAATATATACAAAATAAGTTGTTAAAACAGTCAATCACTGAGAGCTCAGTACAGATGTTAATCCAATTTGTGTGGTAATGATCAGAACAGTCAGTTTACATAAAGCATTACAGCTGTGCAATGCTGCAGTCCAGCAGTTCTGTCATCAGCAATGAGGCTTACCTACCTGGAACTGGAAATTTTTCCGATGGACTCTGCATAGTCATGCTGACAGTGAGTAAGCCCTTCCATTAGAGTTGTCCACAGTGTCAGCCTTGCTCCCTTTCTGCTTTTCTGTCCAAGGATTSTCAGTGGAAATGTGTAAAAGGAGCTACAGCTCCTTCTACTGGGTCTTAAGATTTCTAAGATTAAAGATCTGAGCTCCTACTAGAGCTTGGAGAAGTGAGTGGAAGAATGCCTGTAGTGTCTCATAGAGCTCTGCATCACTTTTTTTTTTTTTTTTTTTTTTTTTTTTTTTTTTTCACATTCCAACTAACCGTATAATTTCAGAAGCAGTCACGCATTTAAAGAGGCTGTAGAAAGAAGTCGGGGGACAGACTGTTGGAATGGGGACTGCTTAGCAACCTGATTGTCTGATCCATAGATGACATCTCAGATGTAACAGCTTGTAAACATTATGTGTAGAACTCCAAATAATAACTCTACAGATTTAACCAATCATGCTTTGAAAGCTGTCACTGATCCAGTGGAGCATGACCAAATCCTGTTAGAGTGCAGAATAGATTCTAGCTGGAAGTCTTACATGGGCTGGGTTGCGTATCTAGATAAGGATTTCAAAGACATCATGCACGCTACTGAAATGTAAGCACATGGAGAAACTAAATTCATGGTCCCATGGGCATTCAACTAAGGTTTCAAATCTTGCAGGGTTACACACTGTAACAGCTCCGTGTGCTTCATCAGAGAGTATCACATTGCCAAATTCCTTCCTTGTAAGGAGTATGGACTGWTTTTTATAGTGGTGGGCATGGCAGATATCTGTGACTGCTACACGAATATTCAAGAAAGGCGTAAAAKCCTCCCCTTAGAATTTCAGCTGGAACAGTCTAAAGCTGATGAGATCTGTATTTGTTTGCCCACTTTGCAGATGTAGCTCTTTAAAATAACAGCACAGCCTAAGTAGTCATTTGTCAGAGTTAATTCAATGGATAAGATTTCTGAAGATCTGTGAAATTTTATCATCCTTCCAGCAAAATGTGGAGAAAGGGAAATGAAGTGAGTCTTTGAGACTTGAAAAAGCATGGGTAGATGTGAAAGCGCTCAAAGGGCACCATCACTCAAAGGTTCCTATCTTGCCCAGCAGGGATAATCAGAATTACTTTGTCTATTTTTTTATCTTCCTGCGTGAAGAAAGTTCAAGAGAAAAGCATGTTAGATGACTAGGTGTCTTCTCCTATTCTGAGCACTAAATGCTGTATTTTTCTGGCTCAARCCACTGAACGTGAATGCCAGGGGAATTTCGAGCCCCTAATATCAAAAATCATTTACTATGTAAGGACCATCTACCACATTATCATTTATATTAGTAAACACAGATTCTGCAGTGTATGCTCTTTTCCAGTATAGCTAGAAATTAGCACCTTCTTGTTTGCTCAAAAACTGCATTGCACTGTTGACCGGGATGATATGCAATTCTGTTTTTCCCCTTAGATAACTCAAGAGCTGAAAAATTACCCTGTTTAAACAAACTTCCTCTTCTTTTCTTTTCTAGGATGAAAAGACTGCTTTTAATCAATGATTGCAGCACTGTGGAAGAGAGATGCCAAGTGTGCTCTCTGATAAAACAAAAAAAAAACCCCACCTTTGTCTCTGACACATTTCCCAGGACCAGCCAGAGTCATAAGGGTCTCTTAACACTGCACTTTGTAAGGTATTTTTTCTTTCATTTAGATGAAAAAAAAAAAGAATTAGAGAACTGACTTTTTTTTTTTAGTTACATTTGGCCCAATTAAAATGAATAGTTTTTTGTCTCCTTCAGCTTTTCTCCAAACAGYAGAGAAATCCAAAGCTTTTCTCTTRGCGCTGTCTTCAGGGACTAATATMTTTAAGTACTTCAAGGGCAGATCCAACTCCCTGACATTTGTCTGCCTTGAACTTGCAAAGAGTTGTAAGTTTGTTAGCCTCCAAAGTGTCAAGGAACTGCAATGATCTTTAGACATATTCCATGTGGGAGGTTTTGCAGAAACAGCTTCATACAGCTCTGCAACCTACAACTTGTTCCGGTGAACCTGTGTCAGATGAGGGCAAATAAAATCCTCTGAAGTAAAGTAGATATCCAGTTGAGCATGTAATACTGGGAAGATTCAAAAACAAAGGAGCTCCCCTGTATCCAGCTTTTATTGTTGTCATTTGCCATAAAAAGGTTGGTTTGAGCCCAGATTAAACAAATCCAAGTTAGAAACAAGATCCAKACTAATTCTAACTTTATCATACACAATGAAACATATTCAAGCAAACATTAAGGCATTGTTTTTTTTCTTGGAAACTTGAACTTCATTAGATGTTGCAGGAGGGAGAAGCTGAGTTTGCTGGAGTGCCTTGCCCTGCTTATGGACACGCCCTCAGAGAATAGACAAGTAGGGAAGGTACAGAAAAAGTGGTAGGCGCTGCAATGGTAGCTAACCTATTCCAGCTTCTTACCACCAGTTTAAGAAATCTGTCCAATATCTGCTGAGTTGCACTGCAACAGAGCTCYTCAGATGAGCTGAAACCCAGTTTTGTGAACATTTGCACCCAGGGGCACTGTGGGCAGGACTAATCAAACAATCTGCACAAAGGTTTATGCGATTCTGCACACTATAAACCCCCTACTTTCCAGCAACCAGATAAATCAGCTTCCAGACTGATGTCTCATTTCCAGAGACTACGTATTATGATGGTCAGTGAAAACAAATATTGTACAGATTGTATATGTACAACATACAGATATCATACTACAATTCTAGTGGAGCTACCTTCAACTTCAGTCTAAACAAATGAAACAGGAACTGTGGAAGTAGCCTGAAAAAGACTGAAATTTCAATTCAAATTTTAAGCTCTCTYCCAGGAAGTACAACATTCTTCTCACATGCTCTTTTGCTTAGCAGAGTCAAAGCTGGACTCACAGAGGGGGTAGTGTTTATTCTAAATGATCAAAGTTAAGGAGCAGTTAATGACTTGAATACCCACAGTTTAAGATAAATTAAGCTGCACAGGGACTCTTTTTCAGCCATCATTCTAAACAAGGAAAATAACTGTGCCCTTCTGATGTCAAATGCCTTTTACTTCTTCACAACACTTTTTATCATTTTCAGTGACACCCTAATGGAAGTGAGCAAAYAGAAGAATCCATAGAGATGTTTTATTTTGAGAACTCACCACCTCAGGAAAGAGATAGAATTTCACAAATATATTCCTCTCCTTTATTTCAATTAGATTATTAATGTTTGAGACAATTCCTRACYCAAACTTCTGGCCAGAAGTCTGTTRGCAGGAAAGACAGCAAATCTAAATCAAAGCACAAAGATCTTGCAATAAGACTTCATGGCACAATTTCCATTCTGCACTTTCCCATTTTCCTACTGGAATTCACTATAGGATGGCAAAACTTCATTATGTATACCCAGCAGGAAGTTAAGATACTATGTCCTTTAGGAAGTTCTACAACCAAATGTCCAAAGCTAAATTCAAATCCAAACGTTAAAACAACAAAGTCTGGAGTGGGGAAAAAAAGGAAGATTGCTTACACTAATGAGATCTTCCCCTATTAACTCTCTCAACCAAAGTATGAAAGGGCTCTGCTATAACCAGTCAACTATATCAATATRACAAAATTCACCATCAGCCTGTAGTTGTGATCCTTTCATGACTGTCAAATTAAAACACACAACAGCACTGAGCCACCCCTCCCCATTTTTTGGCCACCAGTTCATGCAATTACACAAAACCAGTAGTCTTTGCTTAGCAACAAGATTTCATGTTCACCACTAATCAGATTAATAACAAAGTAGTGAGTCTAAACAAATCTAATGATGAGAAGAGATGCTCTCCTTCTCTGACTAATTCACACAATTTAAAATGTCTGAAATACAAAGAATAATTCACTCATCTTACAGGCTCACKAGAAACAGAAATGAGGCCATCTGCAATACTTCTTTTCAGACCATATCTCAGACACAAAAACAAGGCTCAAAATAATAATTTCATGCAAGGAGAAAGAACGTGTATTTGTACTGAGCCATAAAAATTTCACATTTTCTTATGTCTAAGACCCATTCTAATATTTTTTAGAGTTTGGGTTAATACACATGAGTTGTTCTGACTGCCGCGGGACATAAAGAGCACCGGAGAAGGGTGCTGAACCATCACTCCCTGRGTGCCTCCACCTCCCAGGGAATCACAGAGCTCATTCAGGTAACTGCAGAAAAGGTTTTCATTACTTACAGCAGGATGTCCAGCACAGTAGGTGTAGCTAGCATGAGACTGGTAGTGCAAGCTTGCTCTTGGAAAGGTGTATGTATTCCAAGCAGGTTGGCTGCTATTCCACTGGGAGCTAAAGCCAGGGCTCATGGTCACTCTCGATTTACTGTTTTGGTACGTTCTCACTGTGGAGCTGGACTATCAAAAAAGAAAGAAATGCAACGTAAAAATAGCTTTTAGGGTAGAATACAAATATACATATTTTCCCAGCTACATATTTTCATCGTGTATACATATAATGCCACGTGGTCTGGAACTAACTTGAATGTTTTCCTGTAAGGAGCTGGGAAAAGCAAAAAATGCATTCTGTCAAAGATATCAGTGAAAGAGCTATGTCACTGTAATGCCCAAAAGGAAGACWGATGACTGTTACACTTCAGGCTGGGATATAAATCAAATGGATAATCGATAAGTGATAGAAGGTAACGGGATGTTCTGAAAATATGTAGAAGGCACAATCCTAAGATTAATAGCAGAAAGTTCCATTTTTTTTATTATATTGACATTTATTGAACATCTGATCAGCTATGGATATTTTACAGTAAATGGCAGTTTTGGGCCAATGTTTAGATRTATTTCTTGAAGACCTGAAATCCCAACTAGTGGCTAGCTAAGGCCAAGCCATCACAAAGCTACGTTTCAAATATGCAACCTTCCAAGCACACKACAAAATGTCATAACATGTTTTAATTACTTAGAATGAAGAAAAAAAGSCTCAAAAATCTTGATTTTTTTKTTTTTGTTTTTAAAACAATTCAGTAATTTCATGTGAAAGTAACCTGGGCTACAGATATGTAATTCACACACATTCTTTCTGCCCTTTTCTCGTTTTATTTTAGTTGCAGCTTTCTGCTTCTAGTTCTCCTTTTATAAAAAACATATTCCTAATAAACATCTGCGCTGTTAGAGCTGGTTTATTAGGGCAGCAAAAAAATAACCAATTTTCAAAAGAGTAGAAGATCCATAGGAGTGAATGCATTTTTAGCAGGTATTTAGGCTGGTCTTCAAAGACATGCAAATGTAYTTTTTACTCCATATTCTGCTCTTCATTTGGGTTTTGCTTGCTTTCYTTTTATTGGCAAAGGTGCTCTAAATTTCCCATGCAAATTTACCCCAAATAATTGTAATTATTATAAAAYTAAACCTATTCTTTTTAGAGCACTAAATTTACAGTGACCTTACTAATACAGTGAAAGCCTGAGAAATATGAACACAAATAATATTCCTTAGAAATGCTTATAAATGTCCCTGTTAGCAAATTGATGCTATCAATTTCAAAAGCCATACTCAAGAATGACACTTCATTTATTTTTACCCTCCTTTCAAAGACAACTTTTATACATCATACRTGTAGCATTAACCAAATATCAATATAGGCCACCATCAAACAAGATGTTTCACATGGTCCAAGACCATCCTTACCCTGAAGTGCTTACAAGATAAATGAGAAGGTCAGGGAAAGGATGAAAGAGCAGAGTCTGATGTAGAAGCACAGAAAACAGCTTCATAAACATGACTTTCAGTTTAATTTCACTGCTTCGGTTCAGTTTCACTGGGAGAGAATTAGAGAAGTGGAAGGAAAAGAGGACAGAGAAAAGACATACAAAAAKGTTTCAAGGACATATTCTAGCTGTAAAAATATATATCCTGTAGTCTTTCCAATTTTTTTTTTTTTTAATATTGTGTTTCGATGAGCTGGTTGCAGAAACTACAGGCCATGCTTGCATGGGCTGAACATGCCCTCTTTATTTCATTTAATTTTCAAAAGTTTAAGTACACAGAGTTTGCCTCAGTTATCAATTGCTGTATAAACTTTAAGTTCAAGAAAAGGCCAAACGACTTCCTGCATGTGTTTATTTCCTGTGCCGCCGATTAGGAAGCCTGAAAAGAGCAGTTTCCGCTCACCAGCTCTCAATATCTCGACAGATTCGCCTCCCGCCCCCACCCCTAAGAGAAGGATTCCTGCGGTGTGATTTCTAAAGATTTAACTTACGACTAGCTGAACACAAAGAGTATGAATGAACACTAAAACCCACACTAAACTCTCATTAGTCACTGTGTGTGACAAGTGGTTACTTTGTTCTTACAAAAGGCTTTAGGAAAAAAAAAATATCTGCCCCTACAGTTAAAGGGGCTTATTTGAAATAAATCTTTTTGTATGAATTTAAATCATGACAAATCAAAGGAAGGAGGCTATAGCTATAGCTAGAGAAAAAAAAAAAAAAAAAAAAAAAAAAACTGAGGAGTTTTAAAGTGTTATTTTTTTTCCTTTTTTTTTTCCTTTCCCCTTTTACCCTCTTTCCCCAAGGAGCAGAAACTGCGTTTTCTTTCTTTTGACGTATTACTTATCTTTCAGATCACTCCTCAAAGACAAATCTTTCTTTCTGGGCCCTGGTAGACTTGCTTCCACATAAGAGATGAAGGCTAGGTTTTGTTTCRGCCAGATCAAGTAGGTTTTTAGCCATAATGTACTTCTGCATGTACATTTCTCCCCTTTATAAATATCAGATATTCAAGTGTGGCTGCTTATTAACTCCTCTTGAGAAGTTGATCCCCCATCGAATATTCTGTGAACATTGAGCTATTCTATCCTAATAATAACTTCATTTCTTCCTATTATTTCTGATGGGTTTTCATTGTATGGACCAGTGGAAGATACCTGTGGCTGATGGGATGTAAAGGTGCATTGTCAGCTGTGATAATTGTTAACAGATTATTTTCACAATGGCAGYGAACTCCACTACAGTAAGGAGAGATGAGCTACTGGCACTGCACAGATATTCACAATACCTGTTCCCTTAGAGAACAGGAGCAAAAATGAGTCTGTTTTTTAAACAGCCTGCCTCAGTTGCTGGRGAGCCTTCTGTCTGCTGCCTGGGCTTTGTTATATTGTGTGTGCTGCCACACAAAAAGCCCTCCTGGACCTGTCCCTSTGCTGGAGGCACCGTTCAGCCACAGTGCTAAACCCAGGCACAGAGATGAGTCCCTGCTCCCTCCTTCTATTCCTCCATCCAGCTCCTACCTCACACGGGGTGCATTAGGAACAGGGAGGCATTCAGAGCACCAAGGATGCACTCTGGGTGTCCTGCCCGGGCAGCTCACTCAGGATGCAGAGACTGGAAGCGAGACCCTGCTCCCCGTTGAGGTTGCCGGGAGCCACAGCAGAGAGGTCCCCAAGAGCCCTGTGCTCTGAACGGCCTTTGTCGGGGACTACCATGGCTGACCCCATAAAAGCTGTCCTCTGTCTGTTGGATTACCTCCAGGGAAAAAAAACAAAACAAAACAAAACAAAACAAAACAAAACAAAACAAAAAAAAAACAAAATCCAAAACACATAGTAGAACAAAACAAAAATCATTACATGGAGACACAGGATAATTGGCTTTGAAATCTTGAAGAAATCCAGGCCTGCCAGAAAATAGAGGCGTCCACACCACCAGTGACAAAGACCCCAGACAGCCTGGTCCCCTCAGGTGATTGGGGAGCAAGGATGTGAAATCAGGGACCCCAAAAGCTGATGGTTTGAATTCAAGGTGTCCTCTAATCAACAAAACGCTGCGCATCTCTGCAGCCTTCTCTGCACAGCGCAGAGGAGGCTGTGGGAAAGACAATGGAGCAAGTGGGGGAGCTGGGACAGAGCAG